CGTATATAATCTTGGAAGATCTACTGCAACAATAAGATCATCATCTTGCGCCAAAACCCTTAAAAATAAAAATAAAACGAATACAAATATATATCTCATAATGTCGATCACCAATCTTAATACCACTAATGAGTGGTGTATTTGAATTCTATTTATAGTTTTTGTTTATCAGAATCATCTTTTTTCTTTCGTCCACGTTTTTGATTATTTTGAATTGTTTTACAAACAATTTTATTTTTTAAACATTGTTCACAAGGTTTTTTCTCATTACATTTTATTTTTTTTTTGTCAACAAGACAAACAAGCTGATAAAACATTTAACTTTTTCATTGTTTATATATTTTTTTTTATTTAAACGATTTTTTGTCTTTTATTTATTTTTTTTTAATCGTTAAAATTTAATATTTTATTGGTTCATCATTTAATGAATGAAATTACTAAATCAAGTAAACCAAAAAAAATCTTAAAAATTTTTTTTATTGGTGAATGATATTGTTTAATCGAGAAAAAGATAAAATTCATTAACGTGAAAAGGAAGAAAGAGAAAGAATATATAAACGTGAAACTGATATTTTAGAACAAACCATCAATCGTTTAGAACAAACTATTAATGACTTACAAACCCAACTTAGTGAAAATGTTTCTTCTAGATATTAATGAAATAATCTTTGTTTTTTTTTTTTTTTCCTTTTAGATTTGAATAATTTTTAAAAGTTTTTTTTAATTTAATTTATTAAAACATATTATATCATCAACCTGAATATATTAAATAATAAAAAAAAAAAATACATATTTATTCATTTTTTATATCCATATTATTATCAGAATCTTCATCGTCATATTCACTATCATTTAAATCTAAACCTGTGATACTATTAATTGCATCATTTAATCTTTTATTTTCTTTTTTCTCACGTTTTTCACGTTCAGCTTCTAAGATTTCATTAGTTTTTCTAAAGTTATGAATACTATATTTTTTTTGGGAATTAATAGAGTAAATTTTTGTTTTCTTTGTTGTTTTTCTTTTTTTTACAGGATTATAATAAATAATATATTTCATCGGATGTGTAATTAAAAAACAATTAGTTCCTGGAAATGGATATTTTCTTTGTTTTCTTTTATAAGTTACATCAACACAGATAACACCATCTGGAACAATGTCTTCTTTATCTTGATCGTTTAAAAAAACTAATCTTACACAATTATCTTCTCCATCAATAGTTTCGATTTTGATTTTAAAAGGCAGATTTTCAAATTCTTGAACATCATGATCGTATTGTAATTCACCATCATTATTTTTTTTCTAACATTAATAGCACCAGCAAGAGACATTTCAGTTTCTTTGTAGTAAAATTTTTTTTTAGTACAATAGAATTTTTTAT